ACTATAAAGGATTTTACTTACTTTATTACATCATGTCACAAACTAAAAATGTAAGAAATGCTCTGGAGGCTTAATCTAGTGGTCCATCCAGCTAACCCAATATTCTTTCTCTGGCAGTGAGAGTAGGAAAGTGGCCTGTTTCCATTGTGTATCTCCAGAATCTACAGTTGGCGTAGGGTTGTTAAAGGTACATCCTTACCTATTGTTTTTAGTATCTCTTTATGTACCTGTTTTCTAGGAGAAGTATCCAGAGTATCACCTTTGTGTTCTGTAAGTCATGAAGATTGTTGAGCTCCAGATTATTTATTTTATAACCTCAAGTCATAAATATCTCACATTGTGCTGTTGTTAGGTTCATCAGCATTTGAACAGAGCATTATGATGCATCCTTCAATACTTTAGAGATCTGTGTGCAAATTGTTTTGTTTTCCACAGCTGAAATTGCAACCAAAACTGCCTTCCAAAGGTAATGTGTCAGTATGTCTTTAGACAAGTGACTTTTCCTGAGCATATGTAATATATCAGGTATTCCTTGTAGGAAAGAGGAGTTGAGTTTTCTTGGTAGCCAGAAGCAAGTTTTCAAGATGATTAGTATATTAAAATACAAAAAGTGTAGAAATGAGCTGTGCATGTTTTCATTGTTGTGTAATCCAAATACTGGACATAGAGATGTTAATGCATTTGTTGGCTCCGTCTCTTCTCCTGCAGCCCTGATATATTAAAGAATTTACTAATAATAGACATGGAAAGCTATAGCAATACTGGTGAGAGATATCTGCCATTGACACCCTTCCTTTAGGAAAGAGATGCTCACAAGGAATTTTTGCTATGGCTATATAGAAAAAGTTATTTATAAATTGCACAGATTCTTAGTTGTTTCCTCTTCGGAGCTTTTGGCTCCAAAGCCAAAACTCTCATGGAGTTTCCTCTAGGAGCTTTTGGCTCCTAGGGACAAAAACTTTTGTAATAGAGCCAGACAGGATCATAGAATAAGATAGATTGGAAGTAACCTGGTCTAAAACACTGTACCAGAGAGGGTTTGGTGGCTTTTTTTTTAACAGGTTTCTTTCCTACAAACTTGGGGAAAACGTGTAATTCTGAACTGTACAAATTTCTAAACAGTTATTTGGAGTGTCTAAATTACATTGCATTTTTATGCTGCTGCTGCAAAGAAACGTTTTTGGTTTTCCTTGCTTTGAAATCTCTGACGTTTTTGATCAAAATGGAAAATGACTTGTAAATATTAAACATTCAATTTTATTTCAGTGCTTAAGGATAAAAAGGAGGACAATTGGCAATAACATACCAGCTGCCTTGGTTCAGCGGCCTGTACAACTAGAGGTGGTGCAGCTGTACCTGTATTAAGTTGCCGTATGGGAAATCACAGCTTGTTGCTTTAACCTAGCAGCAGCGTGATGCTGGCTCCTCTATACTATTTCTGGAAGATTACCTGCTGTCTTTACCTGCCTTTGCTTTTTACCAGTGCAGTGTAATATTACAGCCTTGGAGCTGCCTTGGTGTGTTGGTTCCATTCGTTGTATGTGATGTTATATGCCTCAAGTTAGGAAAAAGGAATGACAGAGGACTACATGAGAAGGAACAAAGGGCAAAAGTAATTTACTAACTTCCAACAGAAGCTGTTTTGGGAGTGGAAGGGAGTTCAGTGCAAAACAGGCATGTTCCTGAATTTAATAATCTTGAAGCTACTGTAGAGGGCCATATTCAGCACTGGTCTCTTGCAAACCAAGGAAATGTATGGTAGATGCCTCCTCTGAAAGTAGGACGTTTTCCTACTCTCAAAACGTGGAACAAATGTTCACATTAAAATCCCTGATTTGTTCAACGGCTGAACAAAGACTTTAAATCTTTGTAAGCACCTCCACATTTAAACATAGTAAACATTTTAGATTATTTAAATTATCGTCTATTAGCTCTTTGTATTTTGACTTGCATTTAGTATCCTCATTTATTCCTTCTACACTGCAGATAGCTAAATGTATTCCTTGATTTTATTAAGTTGTGTGACATCCCAGCCACTGTGGTTCTCTCATCCCTTTTTTTCTTGTGGAATTTAATGTTTCTTTTAAAGCTACTTTTGATTCTGGTCCTGACCTCCTGGACTTTATATGCCTATCGTTCCTTGCTTTCCTATATTATTTCAATTCCCTGTGCCGTTGTATTTCTGAATAGTTCTACACACTACTTAAGGAATCAGATTAAATGGGGATGGAAAAATAACTAATATGCTTCAGACTAAGAATGGGGAAAAAAAATTATTTTTTCAATGCATAAGAAAAATCCATTGCAAATCTCTCTGTCGTTGTTACATGCTTTTGTGAAATAGGTTTATATGTGTAATATAAACTGTTACACGTCATTGACTAATACTTGGGTGAGTCCATAACGGCTGTGTCTCAAAGTTAGGGTTAGTGTACTTTGCAGTTTACTTTGCTGTTGTTGTTGACCAGTCATGTGGAGTGCTTGACTTTGTGGCCTGTTATCACTCGGTCTGGGATGAACAGTATGGAATGTCTTTTGAGTCAAACATGGCCATTATGCTCTCTGAGGAGCTGTAACTGATAAATTTATTCTGTAAAGCTCAAATGAAAAGAAGATATATTACTAATTGTAGATAGTTCAATTTGTAGTGGTGCTTATATGACTTCTAAGTAAAATATTAAGGACATTCATTTTTCTATATTCAAAAAGCTCTATTGTAAGGATACTATAGGTGGTACTGCGTTTTCCCATTGAGGAAAATGTTTTATTTCTTTTTTTTTTATTGAAAGTAAAATAGTATGTTGTAGTATGCTGTGTTAGTATAGGTTTTAAAATTACGAATAATTGTTACATGAAATTCCATTGCATGTTAAATTAGTTAAGAAATAGTGCTGGTCTATTTTTGCAGGTTTTATTTTTAATAAACTTTGTTTTAAATTTAAATGATTTGGAGCTAAGAACTTTATAATATCCCTAGCATAACTCATATCTGCCTATTGTATTTGCTTTTTCCACCCTAGAAAATAACTGTGTTGCGTAAAAACTTGATGCGTTTTTTTTTAACCGAGTAATAACCAACTGTTCAGAGCTGAATTTCTAGCATAATAATACTGAGTGAATTATGTCTTGTGTTGGCAGCTATGCCATTTTGTCTAATTCTGGGGTAGTCACAAAACATGTATAAACATAGCATTACCAGTGGGAACGCTGAGTTAATGCTCTCCAAGGGCTCTCCTTGCCTAGAGGACTGACTTGGCAGTTAAAGGTGAGGGGTCAGCTCTGCAGTGGGTGAAACTGAGTCAGAGATGTGTTGGGAAAACAGTTAGTGCCAACAAAACGTCTGCTGGAGGTTGGGCAACCTGTTACATTTGCTAATCAAATGCTAGTCATTTGCTGTGTGTTTCAGTAAAACAATTAAAGAGCCTGTTATGGCATAATCTGCGTGCGACATAGCCCTTAACTCGTTGCAAATTGCAGTACGAATTACAGCACGGATATACTACAGCCCTGCTTGAAATACGTATTCGAACCTCAAAAACTCTTTCCGAAGACTTAGTGGCATTTTGGCCCGTAGGGAGTTAAGGCTTCTGTTCCGTGTTTCTCTTTTTTTCCCTGTAAATGTATTAGATTTTTTTATATTTTTCTGATTTATATCTGATAGTAATCAACCTTCCTTCTACATGCAAAGTTAAAATTTGAAAGTTTATGTTTTCTAAGTTACGTCTATGATATCTTCAGATTGTTTCCATTACTCCGTCTCTTGCCTTCAAGAAATACTCAAGTATCAATACAATTCCTTCCAGTGAAGCACACTCGTGCTTTTCATGTGTATGCTTTAAAGGAAATTGCTATTTGAGATAGTCAGGGGGATAAAATGAAATGGTACAACTTTGAAGCTGGAGGGGAGGTGGGGAGCAAAATCTTTGGGGTTTTTTTGTGTGTATGTGGTTGTTTTTGTTTTGGAGGGGGTGTGTGTTTGGTGTGGGAGTTTATGGTTTGGGTTTGGTTTTGTTTTTCCTGGAAGACAATACGGCTTATCGTGCCATCTGAAATTCCCTATACAGCAGTCCACCTGCTTATTCAGTAAACCAACTCAGGGTAAAGCATTAATGTTCTCTTTTCTTTCCCTTTTTTTTTTTTCCTATCTACAGAGTAACCATTGTGTTCTAACTCGGATAGTGATATTTTAAATTGCCAGGGGGAAGGGGGACAATGAAAAAGAAAACAAGTGCTTAAATCTAAAAGAGTAGTTTCCTTAAAATCTGGACTTCTTAACAGTGGACTTCATAAATCTTTTTTTTTTTTCTTAAACCCGCTATAATTATTTTTTTTAACCTCCTTTATAAAGCTTTTTCTTCCCATTTTCCTAATTTGGGTGCTTTCCTAAATGGCAATGAATAAGCTCCGCTTTAAGTAGGCGTTGTCAGATCAGTCCTCTGAAGCGCTCTTGTGCAGTGTTTTGATGTTTGAGAGTTTTAGTGTAAAGGAAGCCTGAAATATTTCTGCTCCTTTTCTCCTCCTGTCAACAGTATATCTGTTGTTTAATTCAAATATCCAAAATAAAAGGAGGGATGGTAGGGTTTCATTTTTAATTTTGACTTACTAAAAATTTCACTATGTGTACTTTTTTTTAGCTTTGAGGACTGTCTCTGTCTTTACTAATAAGAAACATTCCTCAACATGGATTTAGAATATGCAGCATTTACTAGCTCATGTGAGGCTAACTTAACTTATGTGTAAACTATAAAATGCAAAAGTTGACTGCAGAAGGTATAGTTATTTATACAGAAAAGCATGAGGGATGAAAATAGGTTTGGGGGGTTTTATTTTTTAATCTTTCTTGTTTAATATATATACATCAAAAAATCAGTGGAATATAATATTATAACTTATAAAATATAAGTATTGTATTTTTAATGTTACATATCTTTGAGTGATCAAATATTTTTGTGTGTATTCTAATGTAAAATATTTTATTTATCTTATGTTTCTCCTTGCAGATTTGTTCCTTACTACATCACCAGATTCACAAAACATTCACTTTGAGACATGGGTAAATAAGGTAAGAGAGAACCCAAATAACCGTTCTGTTAAAACACAGACTAGTTTAAAAAAGGAAGGAAAAAAAAGAAGTCGTCTGCTATTCCTTGTTTCAGGAATGAGTGGAACAGATGTTGAGGCACTAACTGCACTCTTGCATTCAAACTTCAGAGTATCACTGGAGATCTTTTACTCAGTTAAGTTCCTCTGCAGATTTTCGACATGACTATTAAGTAAATCAATCAGACTGCCTTCATACACCGTCGCAGGACTCCTGGTGTGTCATCAGCTGTTCTAGGAGGTTACTGACATTTAGCACGGTGACTTATGAAGAAAAGACTGAGCAGATTTTTTTATTCTTGCTGTCTCAAAGTTTTGATTTAAGTAAGCTTTCTTAGAACTATGACTTCAGCTCTTGGGTAAGATTTTGTGGGACAGAGGTTCAAAACTTCACTTCTAACCATTGCACTACGTATGCAAGATACAGTTGAGAAAATCCTGAGTCGTGTCTTAACCGAATACCACAAACGCAATTAAAGGTTGGGGAGAAATAGGTCAATGGATTATTTTTTATTTACTTATTTATTGAGATTCTGCTTTTGTATTACCTAACCTGGTGAGGGTCAGTGAAGAACCTCATTGTTAACAACCATTAATGAAATGAGTTGATTTGAAACTAAGTGTATCCTTTATACTAAATCTATTATCCAAAAGGACTATAGTTAAGAATCCTAGCATGTGTATGTGAAAAGTTTACTTTTTTCTTACAATAGAAAGTGCCTAATATGTTTCTTACTAGCTAAGGAATGAGGCTTTAAACTCTTGTATTCTGGAAAGAAATTATCCTAGATTATATATTTTGTATGCATTGATTTGCTTATATTTAGAAAGAAAGAATGAATTCTATTATTTGGAATCAATCAACCCAGTAAAATATGTCATACTTACAAAATATATGTACATATATATCAATTTTAAAATACCTTGATTGATCCATTAAAAGCTTTTAAATTGCCCTGCAAACTTAGGTAAAGTAATTCCATTCACTGATGCATGATAAAATGCTTTTAAAATATTTGCCTATTTGATAGATGCTTTTCTGGCCAACTGAGCACAGGGCCTAGTCATCTTTTCTGCAAGGAGATGATTTGCATCCGTTATTTTTTTTCTCATCCAAGTCATTATAAGTTCTATGTCAAGGTAAAGATAGATATAGATAGATAGATAGATATAGTCAAACATCCACCTAGTAACTGTCTCCAGAGTTTCATCTTCAACAGCATTGCAGTCTACAAACTGAATATGACATGAATAAGCAATATGGATAACTCTCCATGATCCACAAAACAATATCACTTGTCTCAATGGCTTTACATCTACTTGTGTGCGTAGCGCTTTTTATGAGCTGATTGCAATGACTGGAAAAGTGGGCCTTGGGTCATCTTACTTGGTTATGAAAACTCAATGTTTAAAATGGTTTTGTTCCACTTGTGATCCAGTTCTGTGATAAACAAGGATCCAGCACTTCTCTTTTGTCTTTCTGATGAAATACTGGAATATTGTTTTCTGCAGGCTTAGGTTTTAATAATAGACAATTAAACCAAGACCTAAACCAGACTTAATGTTAAATCAAGTGATTTCCTAATTAGAAGGAAAATCAGAAGCTATCTTTTAACAGGTGTGCAGGTGCATTTTTATGTATTAGATGTATCTATAAAAATCACATGTCAATATGCATAAATGCACATTAGTATTCATAATCAGTTGATTATCATTTAGATTATGTTGCTGAAATAACCCAATATCTTCCTTATAACACAGCAAAATATATGGACAATTGTACCTGAATATTACTCTTACTGGATTTCCTTAAGATTCCATGAGGAATTAGAAATGCAAAAACTCTGTCCCAATTTTCAAAGAGTGCGTTTTTTCCCATAGCTGAGATGTCTCTTTATTATCTGCTTAAGGGCTTTTTTATTGATGTATATTTTCTTTGCTTCAAGTCACATTTTATCACCTGGTCTGCCATTCAGTTTTTGCATCATCTTTGTTCTGTTTGCTAGGATGGGAACTTCTCTAAAGCTGGAAAAAGTAAGGAAATGCCTAGTGGGGTGAAAGTTGTTGGACAGTCTGTGTTTGCAGATTTTGGTGAGTTTTACTCTTCTAAACTATATTGAATGTTTCTTTCTTTTTCATATTTTGGTTAGCTACTCTAAATCAAAAACAAATAAAGATGTTCAGTGCTCAGAATGTGGGGGTTTTCTTTACCTTTTTTTTAAAGCATTATATCTATTTGACTGTAAAACTTGAAATATCTGAGAATAATTATTAATAAATTCAACTAAATTCAACTTTGGCTATTCCAGTAAATTCTGCATCACATGTATCTACTTTTGAGTGCTATTTGAGGCATTGTACAACACCAAACTTACTTTTATCAGACGTGTATTTTGTTTGCCATGACACTAGTTTTTCTCCTTAAGCTTGTTCAGAAGATATTATTTGAGTAAATGTTCGTAAATTCTTCACTTGTACAAACTAATAAAGCCAAAATGTAAATGAATTAAAATTACTTGAAGAAAGATTGCTGAAACATGGTAACATCATCATGGTTGTAATTGAAAATTCTGGAAGACTTTTGGACAGAAGAAAAACATAATTTATATGTAAATCTATTTTTGCAAGGGTTAGTGAAAGCCTATATTTTTCTATTAGAATGTACTTTTTCAATCAATTGTGGCTTATCAATGTGCATATCATGTTACAGGGAACAGGAAATGTTGATTTTGCAGTCCAAAAATGTTTTTTCTGTGCACTAAAATAAGAATTTTGCAACACAAGCGAAAGTGCTACAGGCCTGATTCTGCTGACACTATTGAATGTAAAGAACTTCTTAAAGAACTAATTTACTGTATTTATAACACACTTGTTAACTGTGAGACTGAGGTTGTCGTAATATGTTGTCGAATGGTAGCTTTGTTGCGTCATTTTGTTTTAAAATCTGGTTTAAAGAAAATGACAATTCTTTAAATTAAAAGTCCGACTCTGTATTAGACCCAGAGTTCGATTTTTCTCGCTCTATGCTGCCTCTTAGAAGCATCGCTAAGAGTTCTAGCAAAGCTGTTTACTCACATGTAGCTAGAAGACGCCTCTGCTGGATAGTTAATTATCCTTAGATCTTTATTATCCTTAGATCTAGCAACTATGGATGGGTTTACAGATCTATAGTAAATTAAATAAAGTAGAAACTGAACAATGTTCTAAGTTCTTCTGTGAAATGTTTAACATATTTTCTAAAATGTGTAAGTTTTGGTAAAATTTTACTGTGTATCTACAAATATAAATGCTTGTGTGTATAATACCTAAAGAAAATAATAGAACACTATGTCTTTCGCAGTTAAAAATTTTAAATGTGTTGAGTTTTTTGTAACCATTTTTCAAGTTGATGTTCTGAATAATGTGTCCTAATTGGGACTAAGTAGGAATCTGATTTCTATTTCTTTCTTCCTTTTTTTTAAAAAAAAAAAAAAACCCACAATGGCAATGTGGGTGCAATTTATGTAGGATAATTTTATCTCTGTTAGGTAGCTAATGAGCCCAAATGATATATATCATAACTTTAGAAATGTATCATAATAAATGGAATTTTAATAAACCCTGGGATATCTTTGCGAAGAGAAGTGGAACTGTTCAAATGTTAGTTAACGTTTTGAAATGTGAATAAGGTGAATGCACAGTGATCTAGCAGTGCAGTACATGTTGTGGTTTTGGTACAGTCAAGGTTAGGGATGACAATGGCCGATATAGCACTAGCTGTTTAATAAATACCTTGCTCTGCTAATTACCATCAAATTCATAGGCAAAGCACTAGCATGAGGCAATAGTGGAGCAATCTTTCTAGTAAGGATGAGTATAATGGGAGAAAATTCGTGCAGGGACTTGAGAAAAGTACACGAATAAGTGTAGAGGGACATGTGTATATGGTGAAGTGAATAGAGAGGCAAGGAATCATCAGTATCATCTGTGGGACAAGATGCTGGCTTTTCACAAGCTGACTTTTGGGAGCTGGTTATTCTGAAAGATCTCAGTCATTTCATCTCTGAGAGAGAACACCCAATACAGATCTTGAAGTATGAGGGTCTTGCTTCCTCTTCCTGAGCAGCTACATACGCTCTGTCATCTTTGTCTTCATTCCAGATCAGTCAAGTTTGTCCTTTGTGAAGGATGGGAAATGGTTTAATGATCTTTCTGCCCATTAATTTTCCTAAGTGAGTGAAAAGAGTGCTGTAAATGCATGTGTGTATTTTGATAGAGGAACAAAATTTATTCTAATAACTACAGAAATAGTAAACTTGAAATAATTGTTTACTTGTTTGAGTACTATTACAACTTCAATCTTCTGTTTTAACAGTGGGTAGGAAATAGAGTAGTGCATCAATTTTCTTTTCATCTTTCCAGCATTAGTTTAAAATAATCAAGACAACAATTAGTTATTTTTTCATCAACTAAAGTTTTAGAGAATGTTGAATTGAACATACATAATTCTAAATTCCATGTTCTTTATGAAATGCAGTCTGAAGGAAGTTGAATAACGCCCCATCATCATAAAAAAAATCCTGCCTACAGTGCAATAGTTCTGTGTAAGAGTGACTATACAGTAACTGGTAGGAGGAAAAAAACTTTTAATGCAAAGGAGGATCTTAGTTGGGTTCCGCTCACATTCGTTTTCATTCTAGTATTTCTTGTTCTGCACCAGTCTAACATTAAAGAGGCAAAATCTCACATTACTGGAACAACGCTGTATCAGAGTCACTACATTTACCCACTGTGCTATGTCTGTGTGTGTTTGGATACTTCGAAAGGTAGGCATTTATCACACGGATCCTGCGGGTAGTGAGCTGAAGCTAAAGAAAATGCCTTTCTAGAAGTGGTTTGTCAGACTTGAACATCTCCTCTTTTCGATTTCAAAAATGATGAAATAATGATTGTTCTAAGTCAAAGACAGTTAAGGTATGATGGTTTGCAGTTTGAAATAGTAATTTGGCAACCTGTAATGGGCCCTGAAAGAGGTTTCATTGCACAACAAATCAAAATACCACAATGAAATAGTAAAATGAGATGCATTAAAAGATTGCAGTACCTTCTGCCTACGTAGCTTTTGCCGCACTGTGGGTGATAGACTAAGCAGCGCATGCCATAGCGCGCTCACTCTGCGCTGTGCATGGTGCAAGGATGTTCACTGTTGGCACTGGAATGCAGCTGCTGTGACTAGAAACACGTTCAATATACAGTCACAAGCCTGTTAAATCCTAATTGCTGTGTTGTCCGCCTCTATTTTCTTCCCCTTTCTTGATATCTTCTGTACCTCATAGCTGATGTGCCAGCCTTGCCGCTCGCCAAGAGTTTCAAAGGATTCCATATTTTTCTATGCTCTCACTCTCTGCCACTTCTCATTTACTTATCCTAGTGCGTATTGGACTCTGGAACAACGTCAGGTCCAGACATGAGCTTGGGAGTGTATCACTTGTGCTGCTGCCTTCTCATTTGTGCCCACCTTTCTGTTTGCACACTGTTGCACTTCTGTAGTTCAAGATTCTGATTTACTGACCACACCTACATCTTAGCAAAATGTGTTTTGTTTCAAAAGATGACTTTGTCTAACATTATTTCCTGCTTCCAAAACTCTTATTTGAAGTACTCCTTCCAGCTGTATTTACCTGTCATTTGAAAGAAAAGGGCAGGGTTTGAATAAGATCCTGACTGAGAACCTCCAAAGGCAACTAATCTTGGGTAAGGTTTCTTTTCTTAGTTTAAACTAAGCAAGTTGAACAATAGCTATCGAGTAGAAATTTAGATAAGTGGAGCTGGAACAAACAACAATTAGGTGACTCATGACAAACTGCCGCAGATGTTAGCGTAATCTTAGCAGCAAGTGTTCCTGAAGTACCGAAATAATAAAGATTGTTTTTTCCATGAAAGAGATATGCAAATGTATTTTTGTATACACATCTATATATATCTGTAAGGTCTACTACATTTCTGTGTATACATATTTGTGTATATGGGTGTGTATATTCTCATGGAAAAATATGCAAAAGCAGATGTAGATATATCAGTATATTTATGGTAATGTAAGAGACCTTGGACTTAATGTCTAAATTGGAACCTCTAAGATAAGTAGCACTCCCCTCTGTTAGATGAGAACAATGATTGGTCCATTAACCTGACCAAAGGACAGTGAACAATTGACAAATTCGTATTGCCCTGTGAAAAATAAATCAGAAAGGCTTTGTGACGTGTTTACTACAAATGGCATTTCGATTGATTAAGTTGAACAGAGCTGGGCATTAGAGAATTCTGCACTTATTTGGCTGACACATTGCTCCAAACAAGTAAGCGCTCTTCATTATTGCTTCTCCTATTCTTCTCATGTCACTATGGTAATTGCAGTGCAGTGGTTGCTATAGCAAAAATGATTAATCCTCCGTTGCTGTTATCTGTGTTCTAGCAGAGGCTTTTTATAAGATCTGCTTGTGCTGTCTTTAGAGGAAATCATAGATATTGGCTAGAATATTGCAATTACGAAGAGTTTTAACAATTGTCACTTAAAATAGTGGAAAATATTGTATTTGTTAAAAAAATTTAAGGATTTCAATAGGACACACTGAAAATTACCAATTTTTTTTTTTAATAACGAGATTAATGTGGACCATATTTTGGACACACAGGCCTGCTGTTTTCTTGCTACATCGAAGATTAATGAAATTGTCTTTTGAGCACTGTTGGCAAAAATACGTACTAGTAGTCATGTAGTCAATAAAAGGATTCTCGAAGAAGCAAAGATACAGGAAGATAATACTTCTGTGTTTGAGACACTCTGCATATGAGGAAAACTCTTCTTACTGCTATCAGTTTAGGTGAAAAAGATATAAAAGCTGATGGTAATAAAGATTCTTGAGTGACTTTAGATAAGGAAGAAACTCTTCTAGTAACAGAAGCACTTCAGTTCATCTGAAACAGCAGTGTGCAGAGACATACCAAGTTAATTGCCACTTGTGTTTTGTGTCCATAAAAGTGTCTTTAGAGGCTGAATCTGGCTTGTTATTGGTAATCAGCAATGCTGTTCAGTGATAATTTTCATTTTAATA